TTGGCGCCACGTAGCGAAAAGAAGAAACGACTGGCGCGCTGTTGTTAACTCGGCTATAATCGCGTAAGCGGTKTCTACGCCAATTAAGAAGAAGAAGATGTATATTGTTCCCTTCAAGGTAAACAACCTCGGATCTATTGGATATATATGTATATATTTCTTCCAAAATTTTTTTTTTTAAATCTTCAAACTTGGTTTATGCGGCAGACTCCATTGAGCTCGCGAAAAAGTAAGCTACATATATTATATTTAATAATCCGCCCTCATTACATACTTAAGAAATTCATTAATCAACTAACAGGTCTTTGCTCGATTAAATTAATTAATTAAGATCGATTTACCATACAAAATAGAAATCTTATTTTACTGCATTGATTCTTAATAGAATTCAATTTGAGTTAAAATTTGGCTGTAAATTGGCTGTGCTTAACTTTGCGGGTTGGGCTCCAGGCTGTAAATTAGGTTCTGTACAATGACAAGTTAGCAATCAGCTGAAGAATTTTAGTCTAGAGCGAATACGAAGTGGAGAACACAAGCAATTATAACAGCTGATCGTTAACCGAGCCAATCGTTAGTTTAGTAGACGATTGTGCGAAAGTGGTTTCACAAATTGGTTTCTCAGTTATAGTCTTATTGTACTAAATTAATCATGCCAGACTTCGAATGAATATTTTATTTGTAAAAAATATGTTGGTGGTAATAATTTTAAAACACAACAGTTACTTCTGGCAGTGAAATAGTTTTTAAATCGATCGCCACTTTTACCGATCCTGATTATCTGTTAACTATTGTATTATCATGCCACATACCAAAAGAATGTGAAGGTACCTCACGTACAATCACCAATCATATGGAATAAAATCAGCCGGATGTTCGAAAACCCTGATATTAGTTGTCAAGCTTTCGCCTAATTTTATCTATTTTATATACAAAAACATATTTTATGAGCAAAACACACTCTTTAATTTTCATTGAGATTACTCAAATATAGGCCGATATATGCATTATAAAATCATCAGGCAGTTCAAAAACCTTTATAATAGGTATGGTTCAGGGAAGTATTGATGGATACTAAGGTCCACATATTCGGTACCTAGGGCTTGAACAGTTTGGTTCGATTTGGACAATTTTTGGTATCAGGTTAGCGTTAGGTAGTAGTTAGGTTCAAAGACATTCTTCGTGCACAGTTGTTTCCCGTTATATATATGTGTTTTGCCAAGTTGCAGCGATGGCACTTCATAGGTTTTCGGATATATATGAACTCGCATACTTCTATCCTAAGAACCCGCATATCAAGTTTCACTAATACATCTCAAACCCGGATTTTAATTCGCCTTGTCATCCTAATAATTTATATATATTTATCTGGATTAGTTTTAGATGATACGTAAAACCGTCAGATAAATAAAATTATTATACTTTGTAGCAAAATGTTGCAAGACTATAAAAATTGATGTTACTTCAAAATGAATAATATTAAAATAATTTTAATATTTGTCTTTTATTTCATACTTTTCTTATATATATTAATAACTTGAAATATCTTACAGGACAACGTCTGTCGGATCCGCTGGTATATGTATATTATCATAACTTCATTGATTTGGGGGTTTGATTTGCTTCACAGAAACCTTGACTACCGATAAAAGCATTGAATTGTATAAAAAGAGTTACTGAAGTCAGCTGAAATGCTTTAAGGCAAAACTAGCCATAGTTAGTTACTGCAAGAAGAAAACAGTAGACAATAAGGAGAGCATGTTGTTATTTTAGATAAGCCATCACATAGCCTAGATGCCAATCTAGTAGAGAATATTTGGGCTTTAATGAAAATCAAAGCATGAAGAAACCTTTAATGTCATCAAACGATTTCTTTCGGCTACTCCAACATACCTGGAGGTCTTTTCCTGTAGAAT